GTGTGTGTGTGTGTGTGTGTCTGTCTCTCGCTTGGTGTCCCTCTCTCGCGCTCTGCGCTAATTTTCAGGAGCCTCCAGCCCGATGGCCTAAACAAAGAATTCACTAAAATCTCCCCATTCCCATCCTCATTGCACGTCCAACCCTCCTCCTCACCCCAACCCTCTTGACCTGACACAACCTGTCCATCATCTTCCCCACCAATCTGCCCTACCCTTCCAGCCGACCTACCCCCTACTGCAACCAACCTTTCACCTCTCCACCCATCTTCCCTCCCGCCTCCTTGACCCGACACAACCTGTCCATCTTATCTCCCACCTATCCACCCCACCTATTCCACTGACCGACCCCCATTATCTCTACCTGCACTCACCAATCACATCCCACCTTCTTTCCCCAGCCCCACCCTTCCTCTCTCTATCTATTTCCCAGCTCCCTTCCCCCTCCCCATTTCTAAAGAAGGGTCCTGACCTGAAAGGTTAATTTTCCTGCTCTCTGATGCTGCCTGGCCTGCTGTGCTCTTCCAGCTCCACACTGTATTATCTGTAAAAAGAACAGTGCTGTTTAGCAGTCTCTAAAACAGTGAGGGCAGAAGAACGTAAGTATTGCATAGTCTAATATCAATAGAGAGGGCTCCAAAAACGGAATGCTATAACCGAGGAATTTAGGGAACCTGTTATCATAAATATGTGAACTGTGTTAGTAGTTTAAGGGTTTCAGGAAGCAACATTGACTAAAGTAACAATATTGAATGAGTGCAGTAATTTAGCCATGTTTACTGAAGAAGCCACTTCACTTCAAAGTGGAAACCGAGTTTCCCTTCACTGAGGTTTGATAGGGATAAAATGCTTGAGTATCTACTTTTGTTGTTTGTAATAAGATCATTCCAGCTAGTTGTTGAATGGTATAATGTAGAATCATACAGCATAGAAACAGGCACTTCAACCCATCACATCTATGCCGGCCAACAAACACCAAACTGTACTAATGCCATTTGTCTGCACTTGGTCCATAGCCTGGCATTTTAAGTGCACCTTCCAGATGCTTCTTAAATAAGAAAGTCGACGTTTCGGGTCTGGACCCTTTTGCCAGGACAGTCCTGACTAAGGGTCCTGACCCGAAACGTTGACGGTCCTGCTCCTGTGATGCAGTCTGACCTGCTGTGCTCCTCCAGCTCCGCGTTTTATCGACTGTGACTTCCAGCATCTGCAGTCCTTACTATCTCCTAGGTTTCGTCTCGTCAGTTTGAGAAATTCATTTCGATTTTTACAACTTACTGGTCTCTATGAAGATTGTAACAAATGTAGCCTGGAAATTTGTTGTTACAGTCGTCCTGTACTTAAGGGTTTGCTGATTCAGTTACTGATGCAGTACAAGCTTTTCTTTATAACATTTGCACTTTCTCATGTGTGACACATACTATATATTTATTTATATTTGTGACCAGACCCTAGGTGAGATTTTTTTTTTCTCCATTCCAAGTAGGGTACTCCAGATTGTTGAACTTCTGGATGAGAAGGGATGAACTGGTTCTCCGTTATTACTTCTCCCTTACTTTATTACTACCATCCCCGTTGGTTGGTTGCAATATGGTTAATGTAAAAAGGATCCCTTCCCTCATGGATACCACTCTCCCACACACAATAACTCGTGTTTTAAAAGGAGACATTTAACCAGGCTTTTTTGAGTTAATGAAGAATGAGTTTATTAATTATTAAATACGGTCAGAATTTATAATGCAATGCACACACTAAAAGTTTAGAAATAAAAGCTGAATCCGAAAGGATGAAATGTTCTTTTCTTAAATAAAAAAGACATGGATCAGTTCTAAATTATTTGTGAATCATTACAGGTAGTTGAATATTGTGGCCATTGCAGTATCCTGTAGCATTGACATTGATAGGTGAACCATTGACATTTTGAGATTTTTATTTTTATGGGCTGTTTGACGTGCCTTTTTTTAAATAAAGCTGGTTTGTAGCACTCGATGAGAGAGAGAGAGAGTCTCCCTTCTGTTGTCTGGCGAGTAGCTGACTTCTTACTTTGAGAGTGAGCGATGTTCTTTAATTGCTGTACAGGGCTGACAAGGGAATATTCTTTGACTGTGACCTTCACAGAAGACTAATGCTACAGTGCAGTGTTCTACATGGTGTATTCAGTCCCACTAGTCCATTCCAGTAAAATTGAAACTGCCTTTTTAACCCCTCTCTTTGTGTATTCTTTAAAAGGGGAAGAGTGAAAGAAATGTGTCTGCATTTCCGTTGTAATCGGCAGAGGGTGTCTTGCTATTGAGCAGGGGCTTGTCAGCTCCTAGTTAGCTTTGTGATCACAGCCCAACCTGTTTGAAGTTGTGCTGACACCTTTAGATCTTGTATCTCCATTGGTCCCAGAAAGAGTTTTTGATGGCTAGCCTCCGAATTTATACCTGTTATTGCTCTGTTTCTGTAGCTGTCCTTTTTATTTAAAAAAAAAAAAAATTTTTGGAATTGTGGGCTAAAAATGCCAACAGTTCTTTTGGGGTTCTGACTGTTAGTCATGATAATACAAATGGTTTCTTGGGACGTTGGATCACGTTGTTAAATTGACCAGACTGTGCCTGTATTTTGGTGAAATTATTTTTTAAATGGCCTTTGTAAAGTTAATGCCAGACATTTGGTTATGCTGTTTTACTTTGGTTTAATAATTTCCTAGATTTAAAAAAAAAGTATTTTAAATAGTTTCATTTCGTAATGAAAATTTTAAGTTGGAGCATAGCTGCCTGATACAAATGCATATGATTCCTATTTAATTGCTTGACTACCAGTTGTTGGCTGACTTAATAACATTAAGGCTAATTTAAATAATTTTATCTGTTACGGACTTCTCCTGTTGGATGTTTAATCCTAATTTTTGCTTACAGGTGCACAAAATTATGCCAACATAAACACCATGATCTAAAGGATGATGTTTCTGAGAAACAGTGTCCAGTGACTGTGAATCCTCGCCATATGAAAAATGCTTTTAAAGTTATGAATGAACTGAGAAGGTACGTCTCTATGTCCATTTTAGCATCACCTGGGTTTGCAGCAAACACTTTAACTATTAACAGAATGTCCAGATCACATGATGTTATAGTAACCTCTCTACCTGTAGGCCAGAACATCAAGGTTCAAATCTACCTTCCGCACATAACCACGGAGGTTGTGTTTGTAACGTGGCCAAATAGGCTGATTATTTGCCTGTAAATCATTCCATTATGTGGAATAGCAGGCAATAGGAATAGATGAGTTTTCTGGTCAACCTTATTGCAAAAGGCTGTGTCAACCATAGTCAAGGGCCAATCTAATAGAAGCCAATGGTTGCTAATGCTCTCTTATGGCATGCTACTTGGAAGAGAGAGAGACAGAGAGAGAGAACAGAAAGTTGCTGTTTTCAGTCTTCTTTTTTGCACCAAAGACCATCTGCCACCATTTTAACAACCCATTGCTAGGTACACGAGCAGACCCAGAGGTGTCTATTTTCACTTGCCCATTCTCTTGTTGCCCCCTTGCAGCACCAACATGACAATCCACTGATAGTTAGCAACTGACTGAGGGAATTGGGGGACTTTATCTGCCATTTTGTGGTGATACTTGGCATCCCAGCAGTTGCCAAGTAAACAATATCGCTCAGCAATATGATTTCCTTTTTTGAAACCCAATTCCTATTCCGTAGCAATTTATTTTTAACAGTCTGCACTGGTTTGCAAAACTTGGATTCACCTTCCTTTTTTGCCCTATTAATTACTGTTATAATTTTTATAGCGCAGAACAAGCCATTCAGCCCAAAAATATCTAAGCAGCGTTTGTGCTGCACATAAGCCTTCTATTGCCCTTTTTCATGTATCACCATCAACATCGTCTATTCCTTTTCTCTCATGTAAATAACAAGCTTCACCTTCAAACTCTGTGCTGTTTGGTTGCGGCATGATGGAGGTAATGCGGATCTTGAGTTCCATGTTCCAGCTATTCTGATAGAATCCTTAAATAGTAATAGCACTGAAGGAACAAAAACAGAAAAATACTGGAAAATCTCAGCAGGTCTGCAGCATTTCTGGAGAGAAAGCAGAGTTAATGTTTCAGGCCAGTGTTCTGAAAAAGGGATGCTGGACCTGCAACGTTAACTCGGCTTTCTCTTCACAAATCCTGCCAGACCTGCTGAGTTTCTCTCCAGCAATTTTTGTTTTTGTTTCTGATTTCTAGCTTCTGCTGTTATTTGGTTTGTTGTTTAGCGCAGAAGGTCATTCATCTCATTCTGTCTGTGCCAGTTTTCTGCAAAAGCAACTCCGTTAGCCCCACATCCCTGGAGCTCTGAAATATTTTGTATCTCAAGTGTTTATCTGGAAAAGATTTTCCTCAATTTTCTATTGGCTTTATTTATCATCAGCTTTATTTTCTGGTGCTTAGTTCGGGTCTTGGCTACAGGTGAAGCATCTGTCTACTCTGTCAAATCCTGTTGTAATATAAAAGACCTCTATCATGTCTCTCTTCTCTTTTCAAGTTTTACTTCATTTTCTTTCTCACTTTTCTCCTTTTAAGATGCTCCTTAAAATCTACTTCTTTGACCAAGCTTTGGTCATCTGAACTAATTTCTCCAGTGTGACTCCATGTGATACTTCATTTTACAACGTTCTGGTGAAATCCCTTTGAACATATCATTGTAGTAAATTCACTATTTAATGTACTGTGGTGAAAAGCACCTCGGCCTGTTCAGTCATTGCTGAAAGGTAACTTCTCAGTTCTGGTATCGTTCTGATAATTTTTGCTGCTTTTCTGGTGCCTTTACAATCTTTTCATAATATGTGGTCAAACTATGTTTCAATATAAATTTAACATAATTTTTGTTTTTTTCAATTTCAGCCCTCTAGAAGTGAATCCCAGTGCCTTGTTTAATTCACAATAGGATTATTAATCTGCATCATTACTTTCAGTGATGAGTAATTTTTTTGTGTTTCTGTACCCTTAGCTTCCTCAATCCCTTTTTAGATACTTATTTTCCAAGGAGTAAATAAAACAAAATATTTGACCTTATCTCACAGTTCTCTACATCATATAAATGTTATAAGGCCATTCAACCCACTTTAATTGCTGGCCTTCCAGGTGAGCAGTTCACCAAGTGCACTTTCACTGCCTTCTCCCCATACCTTTACGCATTCATCCTTTTCAGACGGTCGTCTATTTCCCTTTTTGAATTCTTCAGTTGAACCTGCTACCACCACACTCTTGGGCAATGCAATCCAGATCTTGTTGTTTGATTTTCTTTATTCTTGCTTTTGCTTCTTTTATCAATTACTTCAAATTTGTGCCCTCTTGCTCTTGATCGTTTCGTTTCATAAGTGGGAAGTGTTTCTTCCTATGTACTCTGTTCAGACCTCTCATGATTTTGAATACCTTGATCAGATCTTTGCTCAGCTTTCCCTTCAGGAAAACAGTCTCAACTTCTCCAATCTAACTTCATAACTGAAATTCATTAGGCCTGGAACTAATGTTGTGAATCTTTGCTGCACTCTCTCCGATACCTTCACTACCTTTCGTTACTTTTTTTTGCACCCAGAACTGTACAATATTGCAATCTATTTTGTCAATTACAGGCCTGTTTTGGAAATGTATGAATCCTGTTTGTATTTTGTCACGGTCCTGCTCTGTATTAATTATAATCCCAACTTTGTGTCATTTGATAATTTGAATTTTTTTAGTCATTCACGGAATGAGGATGTTGCTGCCAAGACTAGCATATATTATCCTTTTGGAGGATGTGGTGAACTAGCTTTTTGAACTGTGTGATGGAGGTATTCCTGGTGGTGTTGAGCTCTTTGAGTATTATGGCGGTTGCACATATCCAGGCAGGTGGAGAGCATCATGGTCCTGACTTGTGCTTTTTGGGTGGTGGACAGGCTTTAAGAAGTCAAGATGAGTGACTGGTAGAAGGCAGTCTCTCACCTGTTCTCATAACCACCCCAGTATTTATGTGGCTGGTTGCTAGTTATAGACACAACACAGGCACACAAAGGCTCTCTCAGACAATGTTGATGATGGGGAGTTAAATTATGATACTTTTGAATGTAAAGGTGGTGGTGGTTAGTCATTCTTCTTTTGTAGGTGTTCTTTACCTGGCACTTGCATTGCGTGAATGTCCACTTGCCACTTAGCAGCCAAAGCCTGAATGCTGTCCTGGTCTAGCTGCATGTGGGTATGGACTGACCATTTGCTATTCATACTGAAGACTGCAATTGTCCATGAATATCCCACTCCGCATTATGATGGAGAGAAAGTCATTGATGAAATAGCCAAAGATGATTGGAACTAGGATTCTTAGTGATTTTCCAGAGTAGAGCATATTGATCTCTAACCATCCACAACCATTTTCCTTTGTGCTGGGCATGTATGCAATCAGTGGAAAGTTTTCTCCCTAATCCCTTTGACGAGGGCTCCTTGATGCCACACTTTGTCACTCTCATCACTGAAGAACTGAAACAGAGCTATAAGTAAGGTCAAATTATATCTCCAGAGTAACCGACAATACTTGTGGCATTTTATTTTACTAAATTTTTTTCAGGCAAATAAAATCCTGCAATACTTTTAAACCAATAGCATTGGTACCAGTTTGCAACGTTGTGTTATCTTTTTATTTTGTGGGATTGGAAATTTTATGTTGACCAAGGTAAGGTTTGTTGCTATTAGATCAGATGACACCTCCATTTCTTTTAGTGCTTTATAATCTTGGGGCCTATCTTTATATATTTTCTCAGGTACAATTTTACTGGTCATTCCTGTAAACTCTTTACTGTTGCTATCACTAGTGAAATGCTCAATGAAGGCCAGATTTATTGATAGATCTAAAGGTATTTGATAGGTTCACTTTCATGGATGTTGGGCAGATAATCTCAGAATAGAATTGAAATCCTGGGAAAGCAAATGAAAATAGATATAGACATCTCATTACTGGGGGAAAAATGTCTTTTTAATGTTTTAATTCCTTTTCTATTTTCCCCACCCATCCTGGAAAACAAGAATTCTTAAAAGTGCAAGGCACAGGAAATACAGCTTTCCTAGTTACTTTAGTGGATATTCAATAAGATTTAAAAATTGTGTGGTTAAGCTGAGCATCTTTAAGAATATTGTTTGTGATGCTCCACGTTGAATTATGCAGTGGCATCATCTGGGTTGTAACAGAAAGATTCCCTGGTGATTTGAAACGTCCCTTTTTCTTGATTATGAAGTGGACCTCTCTAATCTGTGTGAAGCTTGACTGAGAATGAATCCAACTATCAATTAACTTATTTCACAGGGCAACAAGTGGGCATCGACGGCAAATTGCACTCCATATTGAGTCTTGCCTTCAAAAGTGGGAAGAATACGTTACAGTACACACTCTGCAACTTTTACAGATTGACTTGATTTGGTATAACTTTATCCCACATCATTGTAATCAGAAGTTATTGTAACAACAGCATTTCCATCAACTTCCAGCCCAGACCCTGACAGCTCCCAGCCATGGGTTTCTCTTACTCCCTGTTAACTTTGACTTTTAGGAAGCAGAATGGTGATGTTAATGGCTAGTAAAAGGGTATTGTGTTAGATTTTGTACTGAATATTTTCTTCCAATAATCTTCACTCTGTTCTCTTACAGTCAGAACCTTTTATGTGATGTGACACTTGTAGCTGAAGATACTGAGATTTCAGCACACAGAGTTGTTTTGGCAGCTTGCAGTCCATACTTCCATGCAATGTTTACAGGTATTGTGTTACCATTAGTTACATAAATCTGTAATTAATAAAATGATTGGTCAAAAGTGTGATGCTGTAGATCAGAAATTCTGTCCTCTGCCACACATGGCTACCAAATCTACTAAGGTTTCCTGTTAAGGTAAATTTTCGCCATCATTGTTGGGAAGATTCTGCGATGGGATTTAAAGCAACCTCAAGAAAGGGAGGGAAGATTGGAGAATGAGTCAGTACAACAGCTGTGTTGCATCTTCCTTGGTAACTGACTCTGAAGCAATAATGGTGGCCATTTGATCTTGACTGTGATGCCCTTTATAATCGGTTCTCATTGTCTGTGCTTTGGCAATGTGAGCAATTCAGAATAGGAACTCTTAGTGTTTCGATTACCCTCACCCATTCCAGCAGTAAACAATTGCTAAGATGAACGATACTCAACACACATCTGACACAATTTCGTCACACAGTAGAGAACAGAATAATCTAACACAAGCAAATAATGAGACTGTCAAATTGATTATTATTGTTTGTTTCTATACTTGCCAGTTGAAAGATTGGGTCCTGAAGTGGTGAAGTTTTCAATTGTTTTCCTTTTTAATATGTCTCCTGTTTTTAGGTGGCCTGTGAGTTGCAAGCTTAAGTTTACACAGCTTTTAACGAGGAAGCGTCTGTACCCCAAAAAGTCACTTGCTGTTTGTTTGTAGTACTGCAACTGAAGAATTACAGCATACTCCTCTGCTGGAGATTTGCTCTGCTTTAGAGGATATATTTTGGTAGTCGTTACAGAAAGCATTGTTGCCTGCATGCCGTGTTTGCTGACTTGTACCCTTGGGCTTTTGGAAAAATTGTACTTGTTGTTACTGTATTTGAAAAGTTTTCAGTGGTGCGTGGCTGCCTTTCACTATAGATCTCAAGAACCTAAATAGACACTTGGTTACAAAATTGTACCTCAGATTTCATTTCATGATGCATTTCCAGCCTTTTTGCTGGGAAGACTTCCAAATGGAATTTAAGGCTCCTTTAAAGGGAGGAGAAATTAGACGAGTAATTAGTGAAACAGCTATGTTGCTGCATCTTTGACAGCTGGTTTTGAAGCAACAAGAGTCACCATTTGATCTTGCTGCTGATGCCCTTCATAATCAATTCTTGTATGTGCTTCAGCACATGAATATTTGAGAATAGGAGACCTCAGTGGTTTGATTTTCTTCCCTCATTCTGGGATGCCAACTGCTGGTAAGGTAAAGTTGGATGCATGCATGCTCATAGTAGCATATACACACCAAAACAAATATTTTATCAACTGAAGCTACACTATATTTGTAGTTTGAAGCTTGCTATGATTTTTTGCATGCTGAGTATTTGATCTCAGTGCAATTGCAGGAGGAACTGCAGAGTAGAGGACGAATGTTTGTTCACAACAGACAAAGAAAAGTTGAAAAGGGAGTTGCCTTCAGTGACAGTCATGTGGTGATTTTCCACTGTCGATTTATGAGAAAACCCTGCAGAAAGGAAAAGGGAGAAAATAAAGCCAAATTAATTTCTACTGGAATCTAATTTAATATTTGTGATACCAATTTGTTACTGGTAGTTGGGATTGTGTGCCTCTGTACAAAATAAATATGATTGAACATATGTAATTTAGTTTATAAATTTTGCTTTGAATAATATTATTTTTGTTAATGAAACCCTTATTACCATTTTAGTTTTATAATTTAACAATTTATGGTCAACGTTAATTATTTCCCAGTTTGGTTGAATCATTTGAAATTTTATTCTGTGCTCACTTAGTTTATTTTTGTCAATGATTATTGTAAAGTTACTTGAAGTCCATTAATTTAGTACCATTAATTAATACAAATACTTACGAGGTTAGATCAATCTGTCATTTGACTTGTATGACAGACACAGTTTGGTTTTTACAATACAGGTATTTGTTTAAAGGCCGACACAGTTTCAACCAACTGTTTTTGCTTGTCTCTTTTAGAAGAGAAGTCATGTTGGCAGGTATTCTTAATCAGGCAGAGAATTCTATAATGGTGATGATGACACCTCAAGTAGTCACTTCAGTGTGAAAACATGACACTTTAGCTATATCAGCATTATCTGGTATTTTGTGCTATTTTAAGGCTATTCTGGTGCAGTTTTGTCATTAGATGTAGAACAGATGTTTCAGATTGTTTGTTTAGGTTACGAGAAGGAAGGTAAACCAGATGCTGCCCAATATTAGACAATGCTCCTGTTATGATGGCAGTTTGAGTTCGATCCAGCAACAAAAATAGTTTACATTAATAATACTGTACAAGAGGCATGAATTAGTTGTGCACAGATATCTTGGGTTCTGGGTTTTTAGGAGTTGCAGGAATAGGGATGGCAAGACCATGGAAGGGTTTGGGAACCGAGTCAAAGTGCCGTTTGACCAGGAGCCATTATTGTTTGGTAATAGGGGACTGTGGATTTCTGCAAGTGAGGAAATGGGAAGCAGAGTTTTGGATGGCTTCAAGTTTATGAAAGGTAGAATGTGGGAGACCAGCCAGGAGTACTTTGGAATCCTGAAGGCTAGAGATAATGAAGATAGTCATACAGTGCAGAAACAGACCCTTTGGTCCAACTTGGCTGTGCCGACCAGACATCCCAATCTGACCTAGTCCCATTTTGCCAGCGTTTGGCCCATATCCCTCTCTTAAACCCTTCCTATTCACGTACCCATCAGATGCCTTTTAAATGTTGTAATTGTATCAGCCTCCTCCACCACCTCTGGCAGCTCATTCCGTACATGTACCACCCTCTACGTGGAAAAAGTTGCCCCTCAGGTCCCTTTTAAATCTTTCCCCTCTCATCTTAAATCTATGCCCTCTAGGTTTGGACTCCCCCACCCCGGGGAAAAGACCTTGACTGTTCACCCTACCATGTCCCCCATGACTTTATAAACCTCTATAAGGTCACCCCTCAGTCTCCAAAGCCCTGGCCTATTCATGAATTGAGCTTTAACAGCGGATGAGTTGGAAGGGGTGGTCAGACAGTGTTTCAGAGGTGGAAATAGGTAGACTGAGTGATGCAGGAGTATTAGTTCAGAAGATTACCTTAGGGTCAAATGGTGATAAATGGATTAGTGGCCAGGGATTGAATCAATAGTTAGGAAACAAAGTCACAAGAAGCAGCTTAAAATGCTGGCTAACTAATATTTAATTGATGGTAATTTCTGCATATAAAACACTAGCTATCAGATAGACAGTTTGATGATTTTGCAAGAGAGAATGAGGAGAGGTGATGAGGAAGGACTGGGTTTTGTAGTGAAAACTAACCCTATTCCTTTGGATGATGGCATCATAAAATAAGAGACACAAAGTAAGGGGTGGCCAAGGATAGATCCTTTTGGGGACTTCAGTGGTAGCAGTACAATAGCAGGAAGTGAAAGCTTTCCAAGTGATTTGTTGGCTACCAAGTGATAAGAACGGAGTCATGCATAAACTGTTCCACTCACCTGGATGGTTGTGAAGAGATGCTGGAGGAAGATGGTGTGGTCAACTGTGTCAAAGACCACAGACCAACATTCCCTTTAAACTGCTGCTCTGGATGAACGGCTTGCTGACCGGGTTCACAGCATTGACTTCTGGTTCCAGAAAGTGTTGCTGTGCATGGACCTTTTAGAGGTATGTGCAGAAGGGGAAAAAAAATGAGAAGGAACGCTGCTGCTGACATGTCGAGAAAGACAAGGGGGATAGTTTAACTGTCCTCACAGTCAAACAGCATGCTGATTAGGGCAACTGCAAAACCTGGTTGAATGGGTTCAAGCATGGAATTCTGGGAAAGTAGAGCATCGATTTGGGAGGTGACAACATTTTGAAGGACACAAGATGAGTATGCTGGTATTTATTTTTGAGGGAGAGACTGATGATAAAGTACAAAGGAGAAGGGGCAACATCAGAAGGCAGACAACCAACCTTTAATGGTACTGGATAACAGGGAGACTAGGAGAGAATGTTGGGTGATGAGTAGTTGAGAGGGAATAGGATTGAGGGAACAGGAGGTCTTGTGCTAAGATGAGCTTAGTCAGAGAGAGCAAAAGGGCAGATAGGAGAGAAACTAGAGCAAGGTGAGTGTTCAGGGTTGGGAAGGGAATATTGCAGAAATTTTGATTAGTGGGTTAGTGGAAGTGAGCATGTAACAGTGGTTGGTCTCTATCTCAACGACAAATAGATCCATGAGTTCCTTGCAGTTTGTGAGAGAGGAGACGGGGAAGAACATAATCTGATCAAGATTTTTTTTTAAACCTCAAGGTGAATGCAAGCATAATTGCAAAATATATTTTAATTAGAACTGTTTTCTGGAAGTTAAATAGATCCTTTTTACAATTTTGATTTGAGATTCTGTTGCAGTTCTGGAGGCTGTGTGTAGAAAGCTACTAATAGCTATCTATAATCTGATGTAATGTGTGGGAGATTGTATTAGATTGTGAAATTTGCTTTCAAAATGCAGTAAGCCACTCGTTCCCTCATGCCTGCTCCACAATTCAGTGCAATCATGGCTGATCCAACATTTCTCACACCCACTTTCCTGCCTTTTCCCCTTGATTTCCTTACTGAACAAGAACTTATCTATCTCAACATTAAATACACAAATTGTCTGTGGCAAGGAGTTCCAAAGACACTCAACCTTAAGAGAAGAAATTCCTCCTCCTCTAAGTTTTAAGTTGGTGCTCCTTTATTCTGAGACGATGTGCTATAATTACAAAGGGTAGAATGTAATGACTTACTGGGGTAACATAAGGGAAATCAAACTCTGTCATTCCCAGAGTTGTCATAAGAGTTAAAAATTAAAATAAAATGTAAAATCCCCAAAGAACCTGATTTTCAGACCCAGGTTGATAGAAAACATAGACCAGGTTTCAGTACTTAACAAAAATCACTTTCATACAGGTCACCAGATTTATAGCTACAGGGAAACAAATTAAGTAAACTCTATAAATTAAAACCGAAGCCCTTTATAAACTCATTCCCCCTTTGTGTATGTGCGCACGCATACAACACACACACACCCGGGGGATGGGGGGGGGGAAGGGAGGGGTTTGCTGAGTAGAGAAAAGTCTAGAAAAACAGTTTTGTTCACTAGATCTGTTGGTTTGTTTCTTGCCATTCTCCTTGACTTCCCTTTTGCCAAATGCTTCACCTGTTTTGCAAGAAACACAAGGTGGCTGGATCACTTTATGAAAAGTCTCTGATGTATTGTCATGGACTAGACCAAACTGTTTCAAAATATATTTAAGAAGATAGCCCAGACTGTAACTTTTCCTGTTTTAGAGATGAGTGTCAGGTGATGCATTCCAGATGCAATTCGATTGGTCAAACTACTCCACTTTAAGCAAAACACATTTTACTTTTACCGTACAGACAAAATAAAAATAAAAGGATTGGCTTAACTGTAACTCTATCAACGTTTAACAAAATAATATATATATTAACTGCTACTAATTAATTGTTCCAATATAGTAACATCCCATAAACACATCCTTGGCAAAGGCAAATTCAGTAAAACAGATTGCCTGCTGCTAGAATTGCATGTGAGACAGAATCCCTAGCTGTAACAGAGAGGGGAATAACAGCTTCCGCATCAAGACCCCAGCCACTGCAGAAAGCTAAAACTAAAAATCCTGGTTTGGTGGGTGCTTGACCCCACCCATTCAGGCTGCTTCTATTGTTCAACATTTTAAAACAAAATCGAGGCTTCACAAGCTGTTTACTTTATTGGCTTTGACCAGGCTCCTTACCACCTCGGGCTCAATCTTTCTTTGTTTTTGAAACTAAAAACTAGGACAAAATATGTCTTTTAAAGCCATAGTATTGTCACATCATCCAATTTAAAGTCACAACTTGCAGCATGAGCTGAAGGAAAAACAAGCAGCTTTTCTTCAGGTTGATAGTCGCCAACTACAGGGAAGTAGGGAGTTTTCTGGCTCCTGCAGACTTGTTGGTTTCTGTTCTGGCCTGACTAGCTTCTCTCTCTCTCTTATTCACAGCTGAAGCTATTCAGCTACCCGACAACCAAACACCTTTTTTTTGTTTTGGCAGGGAGGACTTTTGTCAGCAGTCTGTGTTGAACAAATGGAAATGAACAAATGAAAAAGTACAGCACAGGAACAGGCCCTTCGGCCCTCCAGGCCTGCGCGGACCATTGTGCCCTAGTTAATCTAAAAACAAATCTGCCATTTTTCAATCCGTATCCCTTTATTCCCTCCCTATTCATGTATCCATCTTGGTGCCTCTTAAATGTCTTCCATTTATCAATCAGCTTCAATTGTAAACAATCCGTTGGTTCCAGTTCTTTTGCACATTGATGGAACCCATATTTATACAAACAAGGTTAAAAAAATAGGTATCAAATTCCTTGCTTTCAAAACGTGCTGCCATCCTTGTTAATCCCTGGCTTTAAAATTTCCTTCTCATTTCACTCCACTTTTTAAGATAACACAAAGACAAGAAGACCCAGTCTTTATAAGAGCGAGTTTGAGTGGACTGGGAAAGAAAATTAGCAGCAAAGATGGTGGAGGAACAATGATGGACATTTTAAAAAATAGTTTGTGGCTCACAACAAAGATGTATCCCAGTGAGAAAGGTTAACCATGGTTAACCAGAGAAGTTAAGGATAGTGTGAAATTGAACGAGAAAACATGTAATGTGGCAAAGATCCTGTTAAGCCGAAGGATTTGGGAAGGTTTAAAAACTAACAAAAAAATGACCAAACAAATGATAATGGGAGAAAATAAACTTTGAGGACAAACTTACAAATTATGTGACCATGTACTACAAAAGCTTTTTTAAATATTTGGAATTTGGAAGTTCTTGTGCATGAAGCACACAAAACCAGCATCTAAAGTCAGCAGGTAATAGGGAAGAAAATAGACTGACGGCCCTTTTTGCTAAAGGGTATAGAGTAGAAAAATAGGAAGGTTTTGCCAAATTTATACAAAGCACTAGTTAGACCATGCCTGGAATACTGTGAACCTTTTTGGTCTCCTTATTCCAAGATGGTACTGGCATTGGAGGCAGCCCAGAAAAGGTCACTAGGTTGGTCCTGGATATGGAGGGAATGTCTCCTGAGAAGAGGTTGAACCCAGGCTCAGCCTACTCAATGGCATTTAGAAGAATCAGAGGTGATGTTATTGAAACATAAACGATCTTTGGGGCCTTGACAGGGTAGACATGGAGAAGTTGTTTTGCCTTCTGAGAGAATCTAGGACCAGAGGGTATAATCTCAGAGTAAGGCATGGGCCATTAAAATAAAAAAAGAGGATGAATTTCATCTGAGGGTAGTCAATTTATGGAATTCTTTCCTGCAAAGGCCTGTAGAGGCAGGTCGTTAAGTATATTCGACGCTGATAAAAATCAGTAAAGGAATCAAAGGTTATGGGAAAAGGCAGAAAAGTGGAGCTGAGGATCATCAGATCAATTACAATCTAATTAAATGGGGCAGCAGACTTGATGGGCTGAATGGGCTAACAGAGTTGCAGAAACTGATCCTCTTAGTGGAAGGAGACAAATACTGCAGATACCAATTGAGACTGAAAAGCTGTGTGAAGGTAGCAACAGAATGTCATTCAATATCTGATTAAGTCTGAAAAGTTATGTATTCTGGTGGAATAAACGACATTTTAAAAGTTAAAAGTTAAAAGTTTTACCTAAAGTAAAGGTGATTGCTAGATATGCCCTGAACATGCAAATGTTTCCTAACATTGTGAGATAGAAAGGTGGACATACGACATACTTTTGTTTTTTAGGTGAAATGAGCGAGAGCAAGGCAAAGAGAGTTCGCATAAAGGAAGTGGACAGCTGGACGTTAAGCATTCTTGTGGATTATGTTTACACAGCTGAACTTCAGGTTACAGAAGAGAATGTACAGGTACTGTGTGAGTAGGTCATGTTTAATATTAAACGGACATTCATTACAATGAGATTGTAGACTCGCATCTTTTCAGGACTTTGAAAGTGATTGCAATCCAATAATAGTAAGGCCTGTGTAACTTTCAAACTAATTTTCAGAGTTGTGATCTTTAATAATTAACCTTTGTTTTAAGTTTTCTTTTTGTATGCGTGTAAACACGTGCATGTAAGAGTATGTACGTTTGTGTGTTACTTAATTTGAAGAGATATTCAAATCAAGGTTATGCCTTAACTAGATCACAATCTTCAAATTCAGTGAAGCATGAGCTAAAATGCATGTGCTTTCTGAGTGGCTTGGGTCCAAGCTATAATGTGCAAATTGTAGGTCTATGCGCATCTTTTTGATTTCAGTTGGTCAGTGCAGTTGAAATTAGTTGCTTCTATGGCAGAGAAATGAAAGAGTAGTAGCATTTATGTTCTGGTGCTATTGGGAAGTATGAGTTGGGTGAATGGTTTATTTTCTTTTCTATCCAGAAGTGCTGTCACACACAACCTTTTTGGCTGTGACTTTTCTCACCACCTGTGGGTACTTTTCATCTATTAACCACCTCCACCAGTAAATCACCCTTGTTTCCATATGCTCAGCCTTAAGGGTGGGGTGAATGTTGGCTCAGAACTGGCTAGGGCTCAGCTGTGACGCAACCTGATGGTAAACCAGCTGATGGGGCACGACACTTGCCTTCTGTATTTTGGTGAAAGGGTAAATGAACTAAGTGCAATTGGTACAAATTTTAGATTTTGTAGGCTTGGGACATCCGCACATAGGCATGTGGAAGCTTCCACCATCTTGGAGGATAATATTACCTCTTCTGTGCAAATAAATATTTTCACTTTTAAAAAAAGGTACTGTGGTGATGACCAGTTAAATTAATAAGGTTTAATTAAATTTTGAGTAACCTTGATTATAATTGTAATTTACTAACTTTGGGTTCCTTTATAAAACTGAGCTAGTATCCATAAGCATTTTATCTCTAAATAAACGTGCAGAGCTTTTGAAACAAAAATAAAATGAAACTGTTCTCTGCTTTTTCACTGTCCCCTCAAAGGACAATTTGACTTGATCAAGTAAAGCTGAGAGGATTGGAGAAAGCAAAAAAAAATTGCAATTACAATTCTCCCTTTAAATTTTTGTGTGGGTTTAGGCTGTCATAAATATTCTTTTTTTTTGTAAACTACAGAGCTGCCTTCCTGCTGGTCAATTTGGCAGATTTCCTGGCCCCGTCTCTAGTGTGCACTCTTTATATGGCTCTAGCTGGTGAACCTGCTGCAGAGCCAAGAGAACAAATGCTCCCCAGTCAGTGATGAACACCCTCTGGCTGGAATTGCGAGATAAGGAAGCAGTTATTTAGATGATCGGCTGATTGGTGTAGGGTGGTTGCTCCTGCAGGGAAAGGCAATAAAGTCGAGAGCTAGGGCCCCCTCGTGGTGGAGTGGTAGTGTCCCAACATCTGGATTGGGAGGCCTGGGTTCAAATCCTACCTGCTCCAGAGGGGTGTGATTACATTTCTGAACAGGTAGGTTATAAAAGTAGGTTAAATTTTTAAAAAAAATGAAGTTGAGTGCTAGTGCCCTTGTGGTACTGTCATTGTCTCTGAGCCAGAATTAAAGCTTCCCTACAGTGTGGAAGTAGGCCATTCAGCCCATCGAGTCCACACCAACCCTCCAAACAGCATCCAACCTAGTCCCTTCCCCCTACCCTATCCCTGTAACCCTGCATTGCCCATGGCTAATCCACCTAGACTGCACATCCCTGGATGCTACAGGCAATTTAGCATGGCCAATCCACCTAGCCTGCACATCTTTGGACCGTGGAAGGAAACCCACGCAGACACTGGGAGAATGTGCAAACTCCACACAGTCAGTTGCCCGTGGGTGGAATTGAACCTGGATCCCTGGCACTGTGAGGCAGCAGGGCTAACCCTGAGCCACCGGCCACCCAAATCCCACTTGCTTTAGAAATGTGTAATTACAACTCTGAACAGATTGTTTAGAAGGTGTCTGGAGTTGAGTGCTGTTGGACAGAACTGATTTTTTTGTTTGACGGACATTAATTTGGGGAATATCTGCCAAGTTCTGTTGGCTGTCAGATAAGGATTGTCTTGGCAGGTAATCAAAATTTCACTAGCTGTTCTGTTTATCAGTGTAGAGGGTCATCCTGAGAGATTTGGTGTATTTCAACAAATACACATAAAACGGTCCTCGCAGCACGCAGTCATTTTGTTTATTCCACCACCCACTTTTTCACGCTTAGTCTTATCAATCATTGCTCACTTCTCTCAGCATGTAAGTAAATCATCATTGACCAATCAGAGCTGAATGTGCTACTTGATTAGGGCATGGAATTTTGTTTGGTGACAACAGAAACTCCTCACCACAATGAACCTTAATTCCTGATCATTTGTGACAATTGGAATTGTTCAGCCAAAAGAGTTGGTATAAAGGAGTAATTGCTTTCTGTTCCACGGTTCTACGGGTGTTTGAAACAATGGCTGAGACTTGCAATTAGTAATAGTGATGAAACTAACAATTGTGGGAATCTGGTAGCTGTGGTCAGAGTTACACTGTCTCCATTTTCTAGCTATAACAGAAGCTTTCCCATTGCCTTGACAGTGAAAGACATACAATGCTGTGAAGTTCTAGTCATACAGTACAGAAGAAAGCCATTTTCCTCATGATGCCCATGCCAGTATTGGTGTACTTGTGCACTAGATACCCACTCCTCATCGAAGAGAAAGATGAGAATGGTGCATTCAGGGACAAGTGAACTTTTAGGAGGCTGATAATTCCTACAACATAAACTCTCTGGCCCTAAAAATGTAGTTTTTTTGACTGTGACGTTTCATTGCTTCATAAGTTTAATTAATATTGGATATTTGAATAATTTTATTGCTTTTTATTTTTCTGTTGCTTTTATTTTTCTCATTATCTTTCCTTCCCAGTTGTTAATGTAATCCTCTGGTTGCCCTTTAAATCCCATTTGTATTTTCTACTTTATACTTCCTGGTTTAAACTTTGCATGGCACGATGGATTCTTTAATCTAGTTGGTCAAGGAGCCTCTCTGAGCTTGCTTTGCCAACAGAAACCACAAGTGCACTGTTGCCTGAGAAGACCATCATGGTCCCCTTTGAGCTGCTGTAGATCAACAATTTTGATGTAACTGAGCGTGTGGCTTACTGAGTGCATATAGTCAACCATGAAGTACAGGGGGTCCTGTTTTCATGTGACAGTTGCGTTCGTGTGCAAGATTGCGCTGTATAGAAAATTGTGCTTTATAGAAATAACGGATCTGATGGGAAAAGCAGGGTTAAGGGCAGAGTACTATAAAATATCACTCAAAATTGCTCAAAAATCACTCAAAAGCCTAACACCAAGGATAGCACAGTTTGAATAAATGTTGTTGTATTCATATCTAATAACAAAATAAAGGTAAATTCAACACCTTATCTTGAAAAATGTCAAGATGACTAATGAGGGAGGAGGTTTTGAGGTTCCTCTGTTTGTTAATGCAGGGGCTGAGGATCGTCGTCATCATCATCATCGCCTTCAGGTGCAGTTGTGGTTGCAGGGTTAGGGTGAAAATTAGTTAATCCAGAAGTGGATGGCTGTGGCTCATTGTCTTCTGATGTTTCTTGGGGGGTTGGCTTAAAAAAGACCCCCAGTTTTTGCTGCTTTGCCCTTTTGCTTCTTTCATGAAGAAGCTGTTCATACGGTGCCAAATAAGATCTTATTCCACGATCTGTTACCTTGCTGTGATCTGTATTGTAATCATTGTCCTCTATGAGCTGCAACTGCATCTCAATTTCCCTCCAGATAGAAGACAAAGCAGAAGTGGAAAGCTCTCGTGGTGCTGCATCCTGGACATCATGTTCATCTCCAGCTTCCACATCCCCCTCAGCGACAAGTTGTTGTAGATCAGCTGTAGAGAGATCTTCACAGTGGGACTCAAACAGTTCTTCAATATCCTCACTCTCCACTTCTTCAAATCCAACTTGCTTTGCAAGATCAACACACAGTGTTTTGATTCTTGGGAGCTCCTCTGACAAATCAAAACCTTTAAAATCTTGAAAAAAATCTGGGAGAAGCTCCCGATTTTCAGCTTTTCTTGTTAGATCTTCATAAATTGGTAAGGCTTTCTCTTTTATCATGAGAAGGGTGGTCCCAGAACACTTCTTCATTTGATCTTCTATCCACACACTGAGAAGCTGTTCCATCTGCTCAAGTTATTTTGTCCATGACTTCACAGATTTGCTAGCACTCAGCAATACAGTTTGCTTTAATCTTTTCTGCATTGTCTCTAATGGTGCGTGAAGTAGACTACCTTATTCCTGTTACACATGTTCTCATATACACATATCACATGTTCTCTCATTATGCTCAAAATGCTTTATAACATCTAGTTTCTCTTCCAGTGTTATAGTCTTTCTTTTACGTCCACCACCCACAATTTTATCACCAGGATGCTTCTTGCTAACATTCTTGTTACTTTGTCCTTGCATTTTTGTGGGTAACATGGCAGAATTTGCAATAAAAAAACCAGAGTACTGTACTTCTCTCAGAAAACATGATGATCACATGATACCGAGACACACACTGTGTTAACATTGAACGTGCTCAGGACAAAGCCCGCAAAACGATCATGTGATGTCGATGAGTACTCCTCCACGCACCAATGGAATCGCGTTATAGCCAACACAAGTTCATGTTTTAGAAATAGCGTTCCCCTATTCGTCAGTTGCATTATAGCCAATTCGCGTTGCCAGAACACGCATTATAGCAGAATCCCTGTCATGTGTAAATCAGCCCAGATAAAGATGGCATCTTTCCTTCCCTAAAGGGCATTAATGAATTAGTTGGGTTTTAATCACTATTCAACAGTTTCACAATTTTATTGGAGCTATCCTGAAGAGGCGTTGCTGGTCCTGAGAAGTTAACTCTGCTTTCTCTGAAGAAATGCAGTAAGACCTGCTGAGTTTCTCCTGCTATTTCAGTTTCATATTCAGATTTCCAGCACCCACAGTTCTTTGCTTTTTGTTTCACGTTTTTGTTTTACTGGTACCAGTGTGTCTTATTACTCCCATGGTGAATTTGGAACTTGTGCTTCCTGGAACATTGGTCAGTCCTCAGGACTGCAAATTCTGCACAAGAACCACAAATTATTGTATACTCAATGACCATGCTAAATGGACTATGGCTGAATACAATTGGGAACGCTGTCATAGGTAATTTGAGAGAATCAATTAGTGTGGCTATATGTATCAAATTAAAAATATGTCTTGCCCTTTCTACCACTTTTTGGAGCTTGTTTTTGTCATTCTTTTTGAGTTGTTTTCTGCAGTACGTGCCATTTTAGGAGGTAGTCTGTGACTCGTTCTCTGTCAATTGCATTCTGCCATGAGCTGCTGGGATAATCTCAACGATCGCATTGACTTCACTTAGTTTTAATTTTTTTTCCTCCTTCATGTGGCAAAACCACTTTTTTTTTCCCCCAAATAAGCTGCAGCTAACATTAGACTAACGGAATATCTGCAGTTGTAAATCCACATGCTACTACGTAACAATAACACATGCTGTGCCACCAAATTGATATTTACAGCTATATTTCTTCCCGCATTTAAACAGCACTTTTATTTAATGTTTTCAGGGCAGCAAAATGCCTATCTTGAAGCTTCAATGAAAAGCTTGCTTGATTAGGATAGAAATCTGCTTTTAGGTCTTGTGGTCTAAATAATTACATGCAATGAGTTAATTGTACATTGTTAGAATAAACCGGGAATATTACACTGGATCAGTCACCTGACACTTTACAAACTCCATGTAAGAACCTGCCCAATACAATATATAGTAAAGGGAAGAGGAAATTTAAACGGAGGAGAAAACCAGAATACGAAAATAAAATCACTTGACATAAAAAGGAAGAAAAACCCGTTATTGGCTTGTAAATAGGAAGTGGTGGATGGGGCATATTAGGTGCTAAGAGATGGGCATGATTGGAGTACATAATGAGTATGGTGCTTACCAAAAGAATGATGACAGGATATTTGTAGAAGCACGAATGGTCATGTTAATTGACAGGGTGAAGGGTGTACTGAAAGGCTGTCCATGCTTCGAGTCGATAAGCCACTCCATCCAGATTGTTGGCTTCCCAAGTAGCTGAAGGATGGAGACAGTGGAAAGGCTTGCTATAATCTTCTAGTTGTTTCAAGAGTCGGGCGGTGGCAGAAAATTGAAGGTTTGCAAATGTGACAGACAGCCTTATTTGAAAAAAGGGTGTAAGGGCATTCCTATACAACTGTAGGCCAGT